ACAATAACCTCTGAGTTAGATATTATTATCATTACCATCTTGTAGGGAAAGAAACTTCCACCCGGAAAAACTAATGGCTTGCAGTGACTTAGGTTGTCTCTTTCGCCGTTATATTTGGGATGTGAGGAAAGTACGCCCCCATCTTCCAAGATTGTGTGTCACCTCTAAGAGCAGCTCACCTGTGTCCTCACCCTTCCTTCTATTTGGAGATCTCCTGACCCTTCCTGTGCCCTCATCCCCGCCCCTCTGACCTGGAACCAGGATGACAGAGGTGAGTTCCTGACTCCTTTTCCAAACGACTAACTGCCCTTCCCACTCCTGCAGGAGCACTGGGAATCTGCCCCTAATTGCCTATCAGGCTGGGAGGCCATTAGCCCGTGATTGCATCCCCAGGGTGGGCCTCGCCCCCTGGGTGCCTGCCTCAGCTTCTACAGGGGTTTGAGAGCATGACGTCAATCTCCTGTCCTAGGGCCCGGCCAGCTTGGCTCCCAGCATTCCACCCCCCAACAATCCCAGGAAAGCTCCTCCAAGAAGCTGGGTCCTCATAATGTGGGGCAGCCAAGAGCCCTGGGCTGAGAGATCCTCCCCAACCCCAATCAAGTACAACACACATCAGTCAAGTACAACACACATCTCCCTGCTCACACACCCCACAGGCCCTGCTGCTGTGGGACCCTCAGGCTGACCCTCGCCTCAACGCAGCCCGTGTGTCTCCACCAGCTGCCTCTGTCCTCTACGGGAAGGAGTTAGGGTCCTGGGAGTTAGACTTCTGAGTGCTGTTCCTCTGTGTGTGACCTTGGCCAAGTCCCTCCCACTGCCTGAGCCTCAAAACAGCGATGCACCTGTTTTCTCCAGACCTCTTCCAGCAGGAGGGGTGATCCAGGGGTCTTATCCCACCAATATCTAATGAGTACCAGGCCCTGAGGATTCCAGCAGGGCAAGTTCTGCCCTCACAGGCTGGGACCACGAAGCACAGGCTGCCGGGGAAGGAGGGTGGGAACCCAAAGAAAGGCCTTTATCTAGCTTGGAGGTGAGGTCTGAGAAAGTTCCTTTTGTCCTTGTCAGGGACCTAAAGAGTGAGGAAAAATTCAGCAAGTAAAGGAGGATACAGGGGGGCTAGTCTCAAAGAATGTCCCGAGCAGAAGCAGCAACAGTGGACAGAGGCCTTTGGGCAAGGGTGTTGTAGACGTGGAGCAGGACAGAGGCCCTGCTTGAGGGCATGGACTGTTTCTGAGGGCACAGAACTAGTACAGAGCGGCTTGGGGCAGGAGCATCATGCAGCCGCCATACGGAGGAAGGATTGGGGGCCAGAGGGGTGAGGGCGGGAGACTTTCAAGCAGGCTCCCAACCATCTGTCCTTCCTCCCCGAGTGGGAATGGCCCCTCCTGTCCTGGTTAGAAAGGAAGGCGGGACTGCGGCTGCTCGTCCTTTCCCCCACACTCCTGGACCGACTCCCCCGCCACACACACATACCTCTGCTATGCCCTGGTGGGAGAAAGGCGGGGATGGCCTAGGGGAGGTGACACAGAGCCACCTGACCTGGGAAAGCTAGAGGGAAGGGGTCGGAGTTTCATACTCTGCTAGAACTCCAGGAGGGAGCGCAGAGCAGAGCAACGCCCCTCCCCACCTGGAGCTGGGAGTTTCACGCCACGTGGGCTTTATCCTACCTGCTGCCCTCGAGTTCCTCCTCCCCGGCTGTCCTTTACCCCTTCCCCGCCCCCTAGGTTCTCTCAAGGTTCCTGCCTCCCTTTCCCCAGTGCTCTCCGGGGGAGCCTGGAGCACACAGAATGTGTGTTTGTGTAGAATGGGGTGTGTGTGTGTTCAAGAAGTACAAGGGTGGAGTGCCAGAAGGCAGCTCCAGGCTGGAAAGGGATTTTAGGAGGAGTCTGAGATTAGACAATTAAACATCCTGCCACAGGGGGCTGGGGATTTAGCTCAGCGGCAAAGCGCCTGCCTGGCAAGCGCAAGGTCGTGAGTTCGGTTCCCGGTACCAGAGAAAAACCAAAAAAAAGAAAACAAACAAACAAACAACAACAAAAAAAAACATCCTGCCACAACCTCCCTGGAGCCTGGAATCCCTGTGGCCTACTGTGTAAAGCTCTCAGCTGGGCCAGGCCAGAGTTGCACCAACTCCCAGGCTTCTGCTGTTGGCCCTGCCCCTGGCCCCTGGCTCTGCCCGATCTTAAAGCACCTTGCCCACCTGGAACTGGGGCCACACAGAGCTGGGATCCCCTCAGCCAGACTCAGCCAGCCATCTTCAGGGGGCAGCCCTGACCCAGGGCTCTGGGATATGTCTGTCCACGCTGCATCTCCGCCACCTTGGCCCAACCACCCCCATGCTCCCCTCCTGTGCCCTCCCCCCATCCTACCCACACTGTAGCCAGAGGGATGTTTCTGTAAGAAAACTCAGATCCCAGCTTTCCTCATCGTCTTTCCAGGGCTCCCATCGCCCTCCCGGGGAAAGCCAGACTCCTCGCAGCTCACAAAGCCAAATTACCACTCTGAGCAGCCGAACTCTCTTCTCCAGCCATCCAGAAGTGCTGGGTCTGCAGGGTCCCTGCCAGGCCTGCCGGTCTGCGCCCCCACCCCAAGCCTTTGTACTGCCCATTGTCACTCTTGGGGTCCCATCGCTCGCACTCCTCCACTCAAACCCCTCCTTGATTCTCAGGCCTCAATTCAGAAGTTAACTCTTGTTAGAGGCCAGAAGCCTGTGACCATCGTCCAGACCCCTCTTTAGAGCTGTGGGTTCTCATAGCCCCTGACTTTACCTGCCGCAGCACTGAGCGCTGTCCTGTAAATGCCTGTTTGACATATTCACTCCCACAACTCGCTGTATCCACACTTCGCTGTATCTTCGCTGTATCCACACTTCGCTGTATCTTCGCTGTATCCACCTTCCCTGTATCCACTGCAACCTGCCTTCCAAGAGCATGAGAGGAGCACGAGGACGGGCGGGCAGGAAGCATTACCCTGTGGCAGGGTTCAAGTGTCAAAGGCTCAGCCACCACACTCAGCAGTGCGGCGGCTGCGACCCACTGTGCCAACCCCGTGCCGGGCACTCTGCTGAGCATCATCTCATTTCATCCCCAGTGACCTTGCCAGAGAGGTGTTGCTGCTATTATCCCCACTGCACAGATAAGGAAACAGCTACGGTATGAATATGATTTGTCCCCACCAAAGCTCAGGATGAAGCTTAATCCCCAATATGAGGTATTAGGAGACAGACCTTTTATTCTTGATTAGCTCAAGAGGGCTCTGCCTTCATGAATGGATCAATCCATTCATTAATTTTTTTTCTTTTTTCTGTTTTGGTTCTTTGAGACAGGGTCTTGCTTGCTATGTGGCTCAGGGCAGATGTAAACTCATGATGTAGTCCAGGCTGGCTTCAAACTCGTGGGGATCCTCCTACCTCAGCCTCCCCAGTGCTGGGACTCTAGGCACACGTGACCATGCCCAGCTTGATGGATTATATTTAATATGCATATTTTTGGTGGTGTCACAGCCTCACACATGCTAGGCAAGCACTCTATTGCTGAGCTGCACCCCTAGCCCCACTCATACGTTAATAGAGCAATGGGTTCATGGACATCTCTAGAGTGGGCCTGTAATAAAAGCCAAGGCGGTTCTGTCTCTTGCATGCATCTCTCTGACCCCACAGTGCCCTCACCACCTCTGGACTTGCAGAGTTCCCACCAGCCAGAAGGCCCTCCCCAGACCCGGGTGCAAAATGGCTGATTTACCCAAGATCACACAGCCAGAAGGGCCCTGGCCAGATCTCCCTCAGGTAGTGGCTCTGCGGTGGGACCTGAGCACTGTGTGAAGCATGCGTCTAGAACTCAGGAAGACCGTTTCTCAGCTGCAGAGCAGTGAATGGCTCAGAGAAAACACCAGATCCCCCAAGCACACCCCAGGAGAAGTTCTACTTTCCTAGCCATGGGGCAGGGTTCCCTGAGTCCCTAGTGGGGAAGCCTGTCACTCCCCCCCGGAATTCCAGGAGGTGGAAGAGAGGCAAGATCCTTTGTGATGCCCTTGTTCCCACTCGTGTCTCCTTCGAGGCTGAAGTCTGGGACGGCAGGATCCCGTCTCCTCGTCAGGGCAGAAGGTAAGGTGCTGAACTGAATAGCAAAGCACATTTGGCTGGAGAGGAAATGAGATTTCTTTGTCAAGGTGAGAGTGTCTGGGAGAGCCAGGAACGGGGTGGAGTGGGGGGAACCGGGGCACTCTAGGGGGGCTGCGAAAGGGGGAGTGTGGATCTGAAATTATTAGGATGTTGATTATGTCCTCTTGATTGTTAATGAAATTCTTCACCTTGCATTTCTGGACCAGGGGAAAAGCTCCCGGAGCTCATTTTCCCACTGATGAGAGCAAGAGAAAGGGCAGGAGGGGGCAGAAGACTCTCGGCTTAGGGAGAAATTAAATTCTGCCTAAACAAATGGGACTGGACAAGCCTGGCTGCTGCCACTTGCAGGCAGGGCCCCAGGGTGATCCGAAGTCCCCTGTGGGGATGGGATGGAGACCCCTGGTAGCGAAAGGCCCCACAACTGAGGCAGCAGAGAGCAGCTCCTAAATGATAACTGAAGTCGAGCACCTTCCATGCCACCCAAGCCGAGGACTGAGCATGTATTATCCCAGTGAGTCCTCCCAACAGCCCTTGGAGGTAAGTTCTGTTTATTCCCATTTTGCAGATGGGTACGCTGAGGCACAGGGAAGACAGAAGCTTGCCTACACTCTTGCAGCTGGGAAGTAGTGATACCAGTATTTCCTGCCAGCCAGTATGGTGCCAGTGAGCATCCCTCGAGATTTGAAAGTCCCCAGCTCCACTTGCCTCTCCCCCTGAGCCTCAGCTGCCTCACCTATGGACACGGAGCGAAGAACAGTTGTCACCCTGGAAGGCTGTTGTGAGGATAATGAAATAAAAAAGTGAAAACAACTTGGCACAGGAATAGTATCCCCTTTGAGCCTGGTTCCCAGCCTCCAAAGCATGGAAGTTGAGCGCCAGCATGGGCTGGCACCGCTCTAGGCAGCAGGGATATGGGAGTGAACAAAGTGGACAAAATCCTGACCCTGAAAAGCGGCAGACCATGAACAAGGTAAGTAAATTAGGGTGACAAATGCCACAGAACACAACCAACCATGAAGGAGGGAAGGGAATGCTGATGAGGAGGGTCGAAGTACAGCAGGGTGACCTGAAATGGAAGAGTGCGAAGTAAACAAGCAAACATCTGGGGGAAGAGCACTCCAGGGAGAAGGAACAGCAAGTGCAAAGGTCCTGAGGTGGGACCAACCTGGCATATTACAGGAGCAGCCAGGAAGCCAGCGCAGCTGTGCTAGCAAGGTGCCGGGGTAGAACCTGGGCTTGTGAAATAATGGGGAAGTGCAGATTGCCTGGGCCCATTGGGCTTTGCAAGGACTTTGTGCTTTTACCTGAATGAGCCCATCATCCAGCAAGGGTTTTAGGCATGATCTGATTTATGTCTTCAAGGCACCACTCTGACTGCAGCACTGAGAAGGTACTGTAGGGGCTTAGGGCGGAAGCAGAGAGGAGAGTTGGGAAGCTATTGCTGTAATCCAGGTGGGGCGAGCAGCAGCTTCGTTCCTCGAGGCAGCGATGGAGGCCACGCTAAGAGGTCAGATTCTAGATCTATTGCGAGGATAAAGCCAACCAGATGAGCCTTTGAGCCCGAGTCGGGAGAGAAGAAATTCCTCACAATTCCAGGTTCATGGCTTCAGGAAACCTGAAGAGCCAGGGAACCGAGAAACCCAGCGCTCCAGCTCTGTCGCAGCCTGAGCCTCACAGCACCTGGGGCAGGGAGCCTAGATGCGGACAACCGGACCAGGAGTAGACAACCTGCCTCAAGGCCTTCTGGGGCTCCCCAAACCCTCCCCACAGGAGACCCCATCGCAGCCTGACTCCCACCTCTGCAGCCCTCAAGGATCCCAGCTCCTCCTGACTCCTCTCTTTCTCCCAAGAAGTGGCTCAGCCTAGCCTCCCTCATAGCAGCATGCCACGCTAGCCTCAGATCTCAGCTAGAGTGCTGCCACCTCCAGGAAGCCTTCCCTGACTGCTGTTCTAGATGAAGCCCCCAGAATCCAGCTCTTGTACGCCCGAGCTTCCGCAGCAGGAGTGAGTTACTCTTTCCTTGTGTGACTATTCAATGAAAACTTGTCCCCTCATCTGACTATACCTCCATAAGGCCCAGGGCCTGCCTATGTCACCAGAAGCAATCTATTCACCAAAAGGAACAGTCAATGGATACAGCATGGATCCTTAGGCCTTTGGTAAAGGCCATAAAATCCCAGGCAGCCAGGTAAATGCCTGGCACAGAGTGGCTTCTTAACATATATTTATTAGAGTAATGCATCTGAGTTCTATAAGAACTCTGGACATGTGATGTATCCTCTGAGCCTCAGTTTCCCCACATATAAGGATGGGAATAAGAGGACTCACTTGGGGAGTCGCCATGAGGATTTAAACACATAAAGCGTGAGCAATGCCTCACACTACGTAGTAGATGCTCAATAATTGCTCCTCCAATGCAAGTTCAGACAATTACCAGCGAAGGATTCCTCTGCGCTTCCCTCTCCTCTCCCTCCCTCCCCAGCCACCTTCCTTCCCCTCAGCCCCCTTCCCCTGCTAAGGACTCCCTGTTGTGGAATCACCAAAGCCTCCAAACACTGCCCTTGTCCCCCAAGATCCCCACATTCGCCACTGGTTACATATTGATCCTGTTTAACTTTCCCAATGGATGATAAACATGAAATTAAAATGACTTCCTGGAATATTAATGCGGTAAATGGCCCTATTAAAAGAAAGAAAATACAGCTGAGAAAATTCGCTTTGATGTAGCGTTTCTGCAGGAGGCTCATTTATCTGCAGCTCATATTCTCCAAATGAGATTCTGAAGGTTTCTCTGATGTCTCTTATTTTTCCCTCACCCAGAATTTAAACAGAAAATAGAATCACAAGCTAGTGTCATAAAAACGTGGGCCTTTTCCCATCGCAACCAAAAAGCAAACGAAAACAGGGCCGGGTGGGTGTCAGCCTCTGGGAACATGGAGCTGAGGACTCACCTGCTCCTCCCAGCCTCGCCCGAAGCTGGCCCACACCAGCCTGCTCCAGGCCCACTCAGGGCCAGAGGTGTGCTCAGAGGCCTGGGCTGCTGCTGAAACTAGGAAGGCGACGACACAAGACCAGAGCGGGCTGTGACCGAGGGCAAACACTGCGGTTTTGTGGACTTGAAACCTTGGCTGTCACCTATGAGCTGTATGGTCTTTTTGTTTTTTGTCTTTTGAGACAGGGTCTCTAGCTAGGGTCTCTATTCCAGGCTGGCCTCAAACTCACACTGTTCTTTTACCCTGGCCTCTGGAGTGCTGGACTTATAAGCATGCACTGCCACACCTGGTTTCGCTATATGGTCTTGAATAAGGTACTTCGCCTTTCTGAGCCTGTGTCCTCCCTTGCAAAATGGGGATACTGCTACAGTACCTAACTCAAAGAGCAGCTGTAGAGGTTAAATGAGATAATATGTCTCACATGCGCCAGATACTCAATATTATCATTTGTTACTATTATTACAGCTACTAATTCATTCTTATTACAATCATTTAGGCCTTGGCTTCTCTACCCTCTGGATACCCCAGGGCAGCTGCAGCCTTGAGCTTCCCCCATCCCAGGTTGGTTACTCCTCTGCCTCTCCTAGCAGCCTGCGCATCCACCAGGACCAGCCTGGGTCTTGCTTCTGACTGTATCCTAGTGGTACAGGGGAGAACTTTGCAGTACTGGGATTGAACCCAGGGCCTGTCACACTAATCTACACTCCCAGCCCTTTTTCATTTTGAGACAAGGTCTCCCTAAGTTGGTAAGTTAACTGTGCTGGGCTTAAACTTGCTATCCTCCTGTCTCAGCTCTCCAGACTGCTGGGATTACCCCCAGCGCACCACCATGCCTGGCTCAGAGCAGAGAATATGAATGGCTTAGCGTAAGTTCCAAAGTGCTGATGGGGCTGGGGATTTAGCTCAGCGGCAAAAGCGCCTGCCTGGCAAGCGCAACGTCGTGAGTTCGGTTCCCGGTACCGGAGAAAAAAAAAAAAAAAAAAAAAAAAAAGTGCTGATGGTTGATACAAGTCCACACCTGGCCCGGTCTTCAGAGGTGTGTCCCGCAGAGGGTCCTTCTCTGCAGCCGTGAGAGCTTGTAGTGCCCAGCTTGGAGACGCTGTCCCCTGCTCCAGGCCTGGAGTCTGTCATCTGCATCTTCCCTGGATCTCACTTGAGCTGTGGACACCCCACCCCAGAGGTGGCGGAAGGAGCAGTTCTGAACCAGGTGCGCTAGGTTAACTTGTTCCTTTCTCTTCCCTCTTCTCTTGGGTCTCTCTGCTGCCCCCAGTCCTCACCAATTTCTGCTGGGACCCAGGCTCTCTCCCCTGGGTTTGGCCCTGTTGGCAGGTGGAGGGGTGCTGCAATCCCCTGGCTTAGGCTGCCCCTCCCCAGGTACCCCATCGCCTGTGGTGGGCCCACACAACTTCCTGAGCCAGGTTCCTGCTGCTCAAAGTTCAGGCTCTTCAGGGCCTTCCTTGCCACCAGAGGAGCTTGGGATCTCTACATAGGGCCCAGAGACACATCCCCCCCCCAGCCCAGGCAGCAGCTGGGGCCCTGTCACAGTGCTTTGGAACCAGCACACTCCAGACCCAGCCTCACGCACGTGCACACACCCTCACCCTCCCTCCCCAGCACAGTCACATATGACAAGCACTCGGTGCTCAGTCACACAGTCCCTGTGCTCCACGGCCGCAGGACTCAAGAAAGAAGAGAGACCCCTGTGGACAAGGGGCAGAGCGGAGGCTCTGGAAGATCAGCTTGGACCCACTGTCCTGAGACTCCGCCCCAGCCAGCCTATGGCCCCCTAGCAGGAAAATGAGAAGCTGGAGCAGAGGGGTTAATTTGGGGGAAGCAGCAGCTGTTGGAAGAGCGAGGGCAGCCCCGGGGCAAGAGCTGCTCTAGCTGTGATAATGACTGTGAGGGGAGCTGGGGCTGGGGCCACACACTGCCAAACCAGCACACCCCAAAATGCGCTTGGTACAAAGGCAAGCTAACTGTGTGGACAAGCTCGTGTGCACACACATACATACACATAGACGCTCAGATACACACATGCACACACAGAAGGAAGCACCGTAACTATCTGGGCACAAGACAGAACTTACACAAACTGCACAAGCCCTGCAGTCCATCTCCGCGTGAGTATAAAACTATTCAGAGATTCAGGCTGCCGGGCTGCAGACACACGCACTCACACACACACACTCACACATACTCACTTTCCGGGAGCTGTGTAGCTGTGGTGGGTCTGGCTTAGGATGTCAGGATGAACCCCATCACTGCATAAGAACGGAAGACTCCTCCCTATAAGGGGAGCAAAGAGTCGAGGACACCTGCCCAAACCCCAGGGGACTGGCTGGGGGCTGTTTTTAGTCCTCCTTGGGTCTCTTTCCTCTTGGAGGCTGCACTCCACAGCCTTGTAATACAATGGAAAACAGCCGGATCTCAGGTTACCTCTGATTTGTATATAACCGTAGGAGTTGAGTGGCTTTGCAGTCGGCATAATGTGATGTTTTGTCGACATTTAATTAAGTACTCGTTGCGTGTGATTTTTTCATGTGAGCGCTTGTCTTATTTGAGGCCACTGATCTTTTTCAGCAGAACTTCCAAAAGCCTTTGTCCTGGGTCAGGGATGTAGCTCTGTGGTAGAGCACTTGCCTAGCATGTGAAAGGACCTGGGTTCAATTCCTGGTATGGCCCTCACCCCCCAAAAACCCCTTTGGCCTGAGTCTTGGGTCCCTGGTGGGTGACAGATAAGGGAAATCTGGAGGAAAAGATGATGGGCATAGGGTGGGGGCAACGTGGACATGGGGAGCCCCTCAGTGACAGCAAACATAGTTAAACCAGGGACTTATGGGCGGCAGACCCTCTGGGGACACTGGCGGGTCTCCAGTCCACATCCCTTGGAGCAGACTGAAGGCTAAGTAGGATCTGTGGGCCCAGCAGCCTCCACACTGAGACTCAGACCATATACACGATGCTTTACCGACCCAGA